GTAAAGCTCTACCCTGCTAAACAAACTGATGCTTTCTTATTTTGGATATATTACACAAAGAATCAATTCATTGGAAAAGTCAGTGATGCTTGGAATAGTTGAAAATAAAAGAGCAAGAAGATGACCATAACCAAGATGGAGACACACAGTCAGAGGAATCATGAACAAGCCATTAAGAAACCTGGAGACCCAAACCGAAGACAGGATATTCTGGAGAAACACTATCCATATGGTCACCAGGACTCGGAATCAACATGAAGGCACTTAAAAAAATAATAATAATTATGAAGAATAATAAGAAGAATGGAGTTAATTTATGTTATATCAGTTTAAAAAGCACAGTAACAAAAAAGCCTGTTCAGTTTAAGGGATGAAGAGAGATTGTTAAACAGCCATGCAAAAATTAATTAACCACACAAAGGTTACATGTGGACAACCAAGGGGTAAAAAATGAAATGTAGGATATCAAAAGATGGTGTTCATGACATTCAGTGCACCCTCTGATGGACTCTGATGCCCTCAAGTTATCTCCAAGACGCTGTGAAGCACATTGCCTTATAATTTTAAGTTGACCTGACTTTTAATTTTTTACAGTGTAGAGCAGACTCCGTTGCATTTTTTAGCATTCTTACATGAGTAATCCATTTTATATATACTCTTTATTTCTATTTAGTGTACTCATACTTCAGTTTGACGTATGCCAAAGATTAATCTAATGTAATCCAAGTTCTATAATTAAACTTTTAGTTAGTCATTAATAAAGGGTCGTTCTCAGTGGTAGAGCCACTTCAAGACCCATTAAGTTACAAACCCTTCAGGACTGCAATCTGCTCTTAATGGGGGCATGTTCTAATAGAACATGAGAGAGAGTTTTTTTTTTTTTTACTGGTAGCATCACAGCTGTGATTCGGTTGCAGGCATGAGCTGAAGGTCTGCAGAATAAACAGTAAAAAAAAGCAAAGGAAAGAAGGCTGGTATACTAACTCAAATGTATTTTAACACAGGTAATTCCTTCTGCCAAAAAGTAGCATCTTTTTGCATTATAGATAGCGCAGTGAAGTTGGTTTTATATGGACATTCACTGGATATTTGACTTTCTCTGCTCAACTTCTCATGAAATACTCAAAAAATGATCAGACCTACATTTTCTCACTTCTGAAAGGCAGAGGGCAAACCACAATTAAATACGTTTCACAAATGTCTGTTAAATTTCACTTAACATAATGTATCAGAAAATGCATATCACCAACGCTTTAGTCATTAAGGGATCATCTAAAAAGTGTTTAACATATTTAGCACGTATACTGATTTGTCTCTTTAATACAAGTGTTTTGATGTGATTTTGTTTTTTTTTTTTTAGCTAAATGTGAAATAAAACTGACACTTTAGTCAAGGGACCATCTAAAAAGGGCATAGCACAGATGTGTTTCTGTGTTTCCTGCAAACCATTAGTTATGTTTAGTGAAATTTAACAAGGACATGTTTGAAATATATTATGTTGTAGTTTGTTTTCTGACTCCTCAGGAGTGAAAAAATGCAGGTTTTATCTTTTTTGGATGTTTATTTAATGAGAAAGTAAAGACAGACAGCTGTATATCCCACAATTTTCTGTATTTGTATGTGGTGAAGTATGAAGAAATGGCTAGCTGCAAAGCCGTCCGCACAAAGTCCTTATAAGAAAAGCCATCCATTTGGACGCCATCTTGGCAACCGTGCCAGCCAGTTATTTCCAGTCATACAACACCAGGCTCTCATCTCTTTGAATAGGAAGACACATAAAAACTCAAAACTGTGCCACTTTAAAATCATAGGTGAAATAACTGCCTCCTCACATGCTTTATGTTTAGTTCTCTAAATCTATATTTAGATTACAGTAATAAATAATACCAATAAGAAAAACCAAGCAAGGGTCAGATTTCAGTAAATCTGCTGCAGAAAGAAGATCAGAAAGTGTGACAAATTGTATTCAGGTTTTACTGAAATTAGTCAGCCTGCCTGTTTCCTCTTTCCAAAAGATTGTTACAAAACTGACCACACATTTATAAGATGACTTGTAAAGACACATTAGAACCAATCAAAACAGATACAGCGACAAATTTGCATCACAAATGAAGCTATGATCTCAATGCTGTTTGACTTAAACTCCTACCTACTGTATCTTTAAGGAAACCAAACGCCTTGAACTATTCAACTTACCCTGTTACAGCAAGTCAGAAAACTCGGGGCAACCGGGAACACTAAGAGATCATATTTTACTGTGTCCATATCAGGAGAAGGCCTGTATGCAGAGCTGAGAGAATCTTCTGTGTGCCAAGTAGCTTTCCACAAACAGCTTATTATGGGGTCCAAAGATTCTTTATACCCCTCTTTCAAATTTGAAGTGTAAATTAATTGACAGACTTAAAACAACCTTATACTTTATATTGACTTCATTGTATACACACATACTTGCCAGTATGTCTGTGAATAAAATATTGTTGCTGCCAAGTGAAAACAGTGTAATTTCATTTTGTCAGGGTTTTCTCTATTTGAAAGTGCCAGTTGACTACAGACCGTGTAAACATTTCATTATAAATGGACTTACAGAAGTGGTTAAAATTACTTTGAATAAAATTACATTTCCTTAATGTATATTAATGTTAAGAATATTATTACTGTTATTTTTATACTGTTTCAGAGGCTTTGCTATGACACCAGCAATCAATCTCTTTATTTGATAACAATAATGCAAATAAACTAGGCCTTCAAAGTATTGATGACTCTTTCATGCATTTTCTCCTCCATATAACTGTGTGTAGTATCTAACACAATTTTAATCAGGAAAAAAATATTTAGATTCACTGGACTTTTTCAATTAGAGCAAAACTGAATACAGTTCGAACGGTTCAGTACTTTGCAGAAGTCAGAGACCACCCTTCATTCATTTAATTTCCACTCTTTTTCTTTTCAGGAGACTTACTCTCAGTTTTCCAGAGAAACCTGCAGGGATATTTTTCCACACCTCCAAAGTTCAGTCTTAGAGGTGGGTTGCATGTTTCTGACCATCCAAGTAATTCCAAAGAAACTCAATGATTGTTATGTTTGGACTGGTTTGGGTGGTCAGTCCATTGTTCTGAAGACACAAACAGCTTCTTAGTTGGATTTGCAAATGTTCCTCTTTTTTTGGTCCATTTCTGTTTCTCAGTAACGGCTTCTTGACAGCTACATTTTTTTTCATACTCATAGTGTTGAGCTGTCAGGATGGACAGAAACACCTGTGGATTGTTTCAGATCTGAAGCAAGAGTGGGCTGAAAGTGATTTTTCACTTATTTCCTTTGACTTTCCTTGGCCTAATGCAAGTGAATTATTTTAGGTCTAAGCTCCTAATAAACAAGCAGCTATGGGCCCTAAGTGACTGCTTATACTGCTTATAGAAACTGCTTATAGTGTACCGTCAATGAATAAATAACAACATTATATGCATATTGTGCTGTGTGGGATCAACAATTCCCTGTGGCTCATTTCTATAGTACTTAAGAAATGTCCTGACATGGTACTCCTAGCATTGATGTTCTTCATCGTCTCATAAACTATCATTTGAGAGTCTAAATCATGAATACAGCTGTAAAAAGTGTAGCTACCAATCAACAGGCCTTCTGTAGTTTGAAACTCAACTGAGAATGAATGAGAATGAAAGCAGTGACTCAGTGATTAGGAGGTCTGATAGGTAATGAATGCCACTAGAAGGCAGCAAAATCAGAACAAAAGCCCATCAGCACTACACACTCTGTGTGGTACAATGGCATAATGAGATGGTGGTCACACAAGTGCTAATCCTTCTTTATACTAATGTTTGATGAAGTAATACTGCCTTTCACTTCCCTGTGCCAAGCGCTCAGCCGTATATCCACTAATACATGTTCAGCTAGCATTTGTTGACCTACTGATGTACAGTCCGGCCCCACACTGTATCCCACTTCTCAAAAACACAGACACAGTGAATTATAACTGCTAGTTAAATACGTAGCACTTAAGGAATGTTTCCTAACTTCACCAAACTATCTTCTCGTTACAGAAATCATATAATAAAATACTGTTCCTTATATATAATATGGAATCATATATTATTTTGGGAAGAATACTTTAGGCTGCTTCCTCAGTTATTCTCATTATAGCATAATCCTCATTGCAGTTGTTTAGCTTGTGGGTAATCCCCCATGAGATATTGCAAAATCTTAGTGTTTGGGTGCTTCAATATCAATATATGGCTGATATGACTCATTTCTTAAGCAATCGGCTGTGTTTTTAGTTTTAGAATTTGTTATATAAAGGAGACAAGCTGAACTTAATGCTTCATGCATTACCGCATTACTTTAGCCATCCTGTCAGCATGCAGAACTGGTGTAAATTAGGCGAGACATGTCAAGATGAAACTGAAAATAACAAACGCACCGCATGTTTGGATCTGCCAAGCAGAGCCTTTTAGTTTCATATTTCTTCTGCAGGCAGAGCACAATTACAAGACACTAAAGAAAAAAGAGCTAGTGACATGTATACTAGCTTAAAAAGTCATTTATATGGAAATGAGCGTTGACAGGGGGAGATGAAAAAAAGAACACAGTTAGAAAAGTCAATGATCTTTCATTCAACTTGCAAATATGCACCAATTATTGTTTGTTGTTTGGCCATGACAATTACTTATTCAATTCAGGCTAATTTTTAGACCAACAAGTACTGCTGTACATTCACATGATGTTGGCAGCATGATCTGTACCTGTAAATATACACTACTGCATATGTCCAAAGGTTTATAAACAGACATTGTGCATTAAAATTTGCCTTTAGAGGATCTGTGAAGTATTTTAGAAAATCAACAACACGTCATTTGACTGAAAACTTTTGCATGAAGACTGTATGTATTAAATACTAAGTACTCTAAATCTAAGTTAGATGGACTTGCACCCTGTAGTCCTGCCCTAGCCCAGCCCAGCCCAACATGCTCCCATACATAAACACAGCACGTGGAGTCTAGGGCATTTCTCTCCTCCACACTCTCACTCGTCCAGCATGCTCTCACTGCTGTCTCTCTGCGTGACAGCTGCTCTGCTGCTGCCTCTCTGCTGTGGTAAGTACTGTTTTTTTTTGTAAGGTTCTGTTTTTTCCCCCCACAATTCTCTAACTCATATTTTTAGGCTGGAGAAAGTGAAGGGAAGCTGTCAGCAAAAATGCCATTTTAAAAAGGTGCTCAAAGACTGCAAATTAGTTCTTTCTTTAAAATTGCACATATACACTCCTGAGATTTCAAACATGCAATTAGAAGAATGAGACCTAGAGCCTTTTAATTATACAGTGAATCATGTGTCAACTTGAAACATTCATGAAAGTTTCATGCTCAGTTTTAGTCTGTTGGCACAGACAGGGGAAAATCCATGTGTCCGGTTTTCCTAAGTAGCCACTATTTCATCATTTATGACAAACACTTATACTTTTCAGAAGAAATTTTCTTGTTTCTCAGGCTGGGATTCGTACTAAACAGCTTGTGAAGCAGCTTATGACATTAAGTTACAATGCATTTTTTTTCATATAAACTCTCTCACCTTGATTGCCTCTCCAAAAGCTTCAACTCTCTCATCACGCAGTGGAGCTCTCAATGTCAAACATCTTCACTTGAAGAACACTCTCATTCTAAATGCTGCTCTCACACAACTCCATTATAACTTTCAGATGATCATTTTTCTATTAAAAGTTTAGAAAAGTAATTATAAGACTGGACTTGGAACAGAGTCAAAAGCAATAGTGCTGCATTACAAATACAGCCGAAAACTATGAATGAAGTCATTTTTATTCAACATTTCACAAAACTGCTTAACTTTAAAATAAGCAATTTTTAAAGTAAGCACTTCACTTAACTGGTCAGAGGTCATATTTCATGTGTTTAATTTTTTTTTTTTGCCTTTAGTTCACCTATGTCAATGTACCAAAAACAGTCATAATTCATTTTTACATGGCCATTTTCCAACCTCTCTTTATCCCCAAGCATTAAACAGGCTGTACAATACTTCATTCAAAAAGCAATCCAGGCTGAAAAAGCTCCTTACAACTTTATTGTATGTGTGTGTGTGTATATATATATATATATACACACACACACACGCATACATACATACATATATATTATATGCACGCACCTACAGTTATTTAGTCCATTCGCTGAAGTTAGAAGGACCATTTCAGTCTGATTAGATGTATGTATGCAAATATGTTGCTGGTGTTGCTGTTTGTGACATCACAAAAACAGTGAGTGCAAAATTAGTTGTCTTTCCAGCTTACTGTCCATTCATAGACTGTATAGACTGAGGAGTGAATGATATGTTTTAAAACTATACAATTTAGAAAATCTTCACATGCTACATCAAATACTTTTCTCTGAAGGAAGACAATGTAGTTTTCAGTGTTACGGGCCCTTTAAATCTAAGTAATCTGTCATGCTCAAACCCCTGAAATGCTCTACTACCCCACAGAAAGAAATAACATCACATCACACAATGTGAAGGCGTGCCAATTCAGACTTGATTTGTTACAGGTTTGGATCTGAATTATTATTTTTTCTCATTCTATATCTGATCGAGCATTTTTTCTGTCTGATACTAATATCAGGTACTGGATTGGTGCCATCTCTATTGTCTAGTCAAGATAATAAATCATGTATTGGAGTTACAATTCACAGTGTGAGTACTGTTCATGCTGTGGCATGTCTGACAGATTAAGAAAGATCACCTCCAGCATCAGGTTACATGACATTTGGAGGGACTTTTCTGTTCAGTTAATAGGTATGTTATCTTTAAAAACATGCAAAAAGACAAATTTAATCTTTGAATAGTCAAGCTTATTTCCAGTAAAGTGAAGCTGCCAATAGATAACTGTGGAGCCAGGCCTGGATCATTCCACTTGGTTTTATGAGCAGGTGCCCAGGGGCCAAAATCATCAAGGGGCCCCGCAAGCGATTATGAGTTCTAAAGAGCTGTTCTGATTTGCAGTGGGAGCTTTACTGTGGAAAAAAAAATCTTCATGTCTATCCAGAATATCCGCTTCATTCTCTCTCCCAATCACTGCTTAGCAACCTTTTCACAATCTGCCACTACCTCAGTCAAGCTTGCAGGTTCAGCTGGTGTTTTTTGAATATAATTTGAATCTGAAGCTATTCAACAAAAGTAGCGAGACATGAAACTTTGACAGAGTAGAGGATGCACATTTCCAAAGCCAAATAGAAAATGTCAGCAATTTGAGTTAAATAAAAATGTGCACTGCCCTTGTTGTCATCAGAGGTAAGATATAAATAAAAACGGTTTGGATTTTTAAGTTTGCTGCTTTCTTATGTCTTTATTATGTACATTTCAGCTTGAAGCATTGAGGCAAATGTTTTGCTTGTCAAGAGCGGACGCATGCTTTATGAAATGTTTCATTGGTTGTTTGGTTTAGGTTAACTTGTGCTCTTGTTAAAATATAACCCATTATGCTGTTATAATAAAAATATTTATTACCTTACAGCAGTGACATGTCCAGCATGAGGTTGTATGCTACCATTGTGGTGCTATAACCCTCATGTAACCTAAAATATTGTGAGAAATTCCCTGACCACCCAAAAAGGTAGTGAAGTAGGCGCCCCCAAACACCTGTGGGGCTGATAACTTGATGATCCGGGCATGAATGGATCTGTAACTGAAACCAGTCCTGCACTCTTAATAAAACATGTGCCAAAGAGTTCTTTGGAGTGATGTCATAGCAGAACAACATTTGGTTCCCCACAGCAGTTGTTCTCAAACTGGTCCAGACAGTAAACACTTCTGATCTATCCCTGTGTTGGGGGTCCCAGAGGGCCTATTTGAGAATCTAAAGAACCTTTCAGTAGTTCTTTAAAAGAGTACTATGGTGCTCCTGAGTGGCTCAACCATCTCAGAATTGGCTCTAACCCTGGTGATGCCACAGCCATCAAAAGCATCTGCTAGCTGATGTATCAGAATTGGCCGCTAGTGTTCTCCTCCAAGCATGTTAAGCTGTCCATAGCTGTCTCGCTTTTTTGCTTCTGCTGCAGTTTCATGGTCGTGAATGTAAATCACAAAATTCTGGTGCGCTATGCAGCGTCATCACAGTAACATCCCAAACCGGACTCATCCATGTTTTTGGATAACACCACCCAGCAATACTGACCACCTCACAATAAAGTCCAGAGTACTTAACTTAAATTCAAAAAGCATACCAAAACAGATGGTAAACAAAAACAGACAGCATGTGCAACATACACAGGTGTACATATGAAATAGAAAATTCCCTGAATGGAATGTTAAATATGATACATTGTCAAATCAAGAGGAACAGTGTGGATTTTGCAGTGTTGGCATGCTGTAAAAAATGCTGCGTCGTTTGACAATATGAATGTCTTAACGAAAGCTGCTTATAAAATGTAGCACAACACTCAGAGAAAATGAACATACACACAGATTTTGGATCATTTAAGATTACTATTTGCTCAACAGTCAACATCTGTATCAGCTGAGTGAGTAAATAAATAAATAAATAAAATATTGGCAGGAAAGTTTTAAAAGGGCCTGAATAATGAAAGCAAAGAGTTCAGGGGAATGGCGGGGGCGCGCACACCCTGTTCTTCCTATTAGGATTAAGTTGACATGTATGGCGGTCCATTGAAGCTGTGCTAGTGGCTGTTTGAAATGATGTGGTGGTGCTTCATGTCTCAAAGGAAATCGAACACATTAAGACAAGACGTACATGATCTTTTTCTTGTTATCCAAAGAGCAAGCAGACGTTTTCAACATTTATATTCAGATGTAATTTTAACAAACTCATTCATTCCAAACACAAAACAACTGAAAAGAAAAAGAAGAATATCAAATGATTTAAAGTGTTTCAACCTCAATGTTTAAGGCATTCAACTGACTGATAATGAATGTGTAGCTCATGGAGGGGGATGCCTGCTGCTGATATTTACAAAGTTTCTCAAGATCACTGTGAGAACAATGAACACAACAAACATGCACATGTGGAGATGCATGTGAGTCATTCCACACTGAAAATATCATGCCTAAGGGAATCACAATAGGGGAATTACAAAAAGAAGACAGAGGAGACAGCAGCGATGATTTGCGCCAGTGATTAAAAAATGACAAGAAAAATATCCAATGCTGCCAGCAAAGCACTCTCACTATATATGAGCTGTATCAAGCAAGGCTGTACAATGTGCCAAAATCCTGTCTATACCTGTTCTGTATGGGCAAAGCAGTGAGGTGCCAGGTCCAGTTACAAGAACCTGAACTGCTGCTATTTTACAACCAAATCTGCGCTCCATCATGTCTCCGTCTTTTTGAGATGAATGACACCATAAAAGAATGACTTCAGCAAGTACTCACTTCCAATTTTGTCCTTCCTGTGTAATCTCGTTGTCTTCAATTCACAAGTCCTGAGCCAAGTTTCCATACCTTTCACCTCAGTGAAAAAGCACCTTAAAATCTGAAAGAAAACTTACAATTCAAGGGTCATTCTACCACTGCGGTGGCAAACAGGCCACAAAGGTTGATCTGTAATCCAAGAGTAAAATGTACAACATCAGTTGACTAACACCACTGAGCGTAACGCTGTAACACCACTGACAAAATGACTAAAATCTGTGCTTTTCTAAGATACAGAAATGCCGCTTTAGTTTTAAAATCACACTGCATGTAGAAAAATCTAAATACTGCATTCATGTTGTAATTTTTAGTTTAAAATTACCTAATGTTGCACGAGTTTCACCACCAATCTCTTTCTCAACACGTGAAGCTTCCTGCATTTTAGCCAAATTTATCAACAATAAAAAACTGTGAACTTCTCAGAGTTAGTCTTTCATTCTTTGAGATATCTGTACAAGAAGTAATTCAAAAACAACTTTTTAAAAAAGACATTATACATTTTTGTAATACCACTGACAAACACTTGAAACAAGATTTATCATTAAATCGTTTTAACATAGAACAAATAGCTTTATCATTTAAACCAAAAAAGAAAAAAAAAATCAAGCATATTGTTCTTTCATATAAAAAGCATTTGTGAAGTCTTTCATGTACAATATGACTAAAAATCACTCGAACATTGATCATTTAGAAATAGAACAAAGAGTACACTAACACCTATGAAAGCATCTCAGCAAAATTCAAATGAAAATGTAGTATGTAAAATGGAAATTTGTTCTTATGCTTGAATTTCAATTTCCCACTCGTATGCGATTTTGGGCTCAAAACAAAAAAATCAACCTCTGTTTTACTGTTTCAATGTGTCATTTTGGTACACTTTGATACACTAACATTGGTTTTTCATTTACACAGAGATTTAGATGATTAAATTAAAATGTATTTCCAGAACTGCATATTTATACTTAATGCGATTGTGTAGTAATTGTGTCAGAATGATCATTAACAATTTAATTTATCTTGTATGCATTTTCACTCTCTAATAATGCAGAACACCAAGAACACCAAGCTAGAAAGATGGCAAAATTCAAATGTAAAACAGCGCCTCTCCTCTTTGAAATGACATTCTTTCCTACTTTCATTCTGTGGCAAAAAGCCTTTGAAAATGCATTCGACCAGATTGCCAGACCATCCCATCAGGGCAGGGCCAACAGCACGACCAGCAGAAAAGGCTTTATCTGTAAACATGGAGGCTGATTTAATGTTAGAAGATGGGGTGAAACAGAGCAATATATTCACTTGTGATGATTACTATGTCTTTATACACAATTCATGAAGAATCAAACATGTGACTGATTTTTCTGTTTTAATCAGTAGCTGGAGATTTATTGTCCTCATTGGCTGATTGGCTACAGATATAGATTAATCCAGCATCTAAAACAGGGTTTCTCAGCCACTGGGCCACTGATCACAAAGGGGCCATCAAGCCAGTACTGAGGTGGAGCCAGTGGCCCATAGTATGCCAGTGATAGTACTTTGCCATAAAAATCAGTGATCTTCATCTATTTTTTGCTCCTTGTCTCTAAAAAAAAAAACACTCCTCATAGTAACAACTGTCCACTTATGAGTGAAAGAATTAGCCTAATTTGCCACCTAATTTGATTTCAGGTATAAAGCAAGCTAGAAATGCAAGAAATGTTAAGTGATACATATTACATGTCATGGCACCTGAAAATTGCTTTGTTGAAAATTTCCCAAAGAAAACTTTTTTGCTTTTTTTGTTATCCTGTGCTTACTAGTGATAAATAGGTGGAACCTGAGGTGGAAAAAGTTGGGAGGCCCTGTCCTAATATAAATAAAGAGCATCAGATTGCTGTGTTCCACCTTATCTGGCACCTAAAATAGACTCATAAAATGATTTTGTTGTAATTGTACTGGCACACACAGACATATGTAAACAGAATGAGAGCACTAAATGAGAGTTTTGCCCTCTTTCTAACATGGTGCTCTCTTTGATAATGCTATTTAAATGCATTACTAGAAAGTGCAAATGCAAATTTCGCAATCATTTTGATACCATTATTGCATAATCACATTAAGCATAAACACACAGTTCTGCATGAGCTGCATGAGTGAGAAATTTAAAATTTGGATATAAGAATAAATGTCCACTTCACATGTTACATTTCCATTTGAATTTGGGCACTGAAATGCTTCCACAGACATCAACTTTCCATTTAGCTTTATTCCTATTATGAGCTAATTTTCATGGCTTTTACCACTGCAATAGTGGAATGACCCAAATCCAGAAATAGCTTAATTTGAAAATGAAAAACAAAAGCTTAGGTACCCACTGCCCTCCCACAAACCCCAGGATGACAGGTGAATGTGCCGCATGGATGGAGTCTACCCACTAAATTAGACACCAATCTTGCTCTTTATGAGGGGACAGAGAACCTTTTCTTTCAATTATCACTTCCACTGAGACTGCTCAATGCACAACATTCCTCAGAAATTACATCTTTTCATTAGAGAACATAATCAACAACATAACCTTGCTGCAAAAACCCCCTTTTCTAATAGCTCAGTAGTTTACTTTAAGGACCCGTGAACAGATAAACAGATGAGATTTTAGCTCTACCATGGGAGAATGTTGGATTCTTTTGCATAGCACTGCAGCCTGGGATAAGTCTAATTCATCTGATAAGAATGTGCTGGATCCACTCAGACATCTTAGCGCTGAAACTGTATTTGTTAGAAGTGTTTGCTCTGTGAACACTTTATTTGTACACTTACCTTTAATTAACAGAATGGTACAACAGTCAAAGTCCACCGTTCATTTATTTAATTTCCAGTCAGAAAGACCACTAACATCAGGAAAAAAAGCAGAAAATAACAGAACAGAAAATTACACAGAGGCCTCAATGGCGAAATATAACATTTTTTCTGTGTTTAATGTGTCCACTCTTTAACCTTCCATTATTTTCAGGAGACTTGCTTTCAATTTTTCAGAGAAATCTGCAGGAATATTGTTCCACACATCCAACATTAAGGCTTAGAAGTTGGTGGCATTTTCTGCTTCTCACTATCCAAATAATCTTAATTACAAATTTAATCACTTCTTAAAACATTACTTCAATCTCAAAAGTCCAATTTTCAAAGTTCTAGTGTAAAATTCCTTCTTTTTTATGTTTCCTTTTCTCAGTAAGAGCTTCTTGACGGCCACACATCCTTTCAGACTCAGTGTTGAGTTGTCTTCTCGCAGTGGAAGGATGGACAGAAACACCTGTGGATTTTCTCAGATCTGAATCAAGAGTGGAGCTTGATCTTCTCCTCTCTCTCAAAGATGAAAGCTTTAAGTGCTGTTTATCTGATGGGGACAGTGTTGGTGGTCTACCAGGTCTTACACAGTTGTTAGGAGTCCCATTTTCTTGGAATTTTTAAATCATTTTTTAAATCCAGGTTTGGAATCTCAAGTGAATTTTCTCATATTTAATCCTGTCAGAAATATCTTCTATGTGCGAGGAAGAAATCTGTAAGGCAGCTGAGGTGTGTTTGGGTAGCTGCTTGTGTGAATGTTGTTGTCTATTTAAAGGGGTACAAAGACTTTTAGGCACAGTTTTTGCTGGGAGGACACAGCTGTAATTGGATGAATTTAAGATTGCAAGGATGGAAGAGTTAAAGTGGCAGAGGGTGCACAAAAGTCAAGAGTGGACAAATTAAACACTGATAGATTTGCTCTTATAAGTAGCTGTTGAGCATTGTGTGTAATTTTCTATTAAATACATTTCCTGCTTTTTTTTCTAACACTGAAAAACATGCTACATGGAATGTTACATTTCTAATTACAAGCCTCTTTCAAACAAGAATAAGAGACCATACAGTGATTGCATATAACTATTAAACTCTCCATTTTATTAAGATCTTCTAAATGTTTGTGTTTTATTTCCTGCCAGGTACCACAAATGATCCTCAACAAGATGAAATGACACCAACTCCAGATTATACCGATTACACCTTTGACTATGGCAGTATGTTATGATGAATACATCTAAAAATCAAACCTATTTTAACCAAATGTTTACCTAAAGTTACCACAAGTTCTTTAATTGTCATTTCAGATGATTCAACAATGAATTATGACATGTACATAATTCTCAACCAAGAAAAAGAAACAGACGTAAAAGCAGTTGGTAGTGACGTGAACAAGGTAAAGAAGATGTGTGTAGACGGTAAATGTCTCAGATATAGAATGTACAGCACTGTGTAAAATGCATCAACACTTCTGCACAGCTTCTTTAATTTGCAGGCTACAGACACAGTTACACACACACTGTCTAATAGCACATCATGATGAAATATACTTAGGGCCTTCACAATGTACAATAAATATAAAACTTTCATAGTGCCACTGTAGAAACTGACAAGTTTCTAACAGAAAAAAAAGACTTAACTTCACAGCACATGATGAATGTTATAATGAACTTGACAGACTATTATTAGGAGAACAAAAGCTTCCAGTTGGCATCTACGAACAACTGAAAATGCTCAACAGTGCCAGACCTTTTAGAATTAACAGACACACTTTTCTTGACCATCAGGTTTCACATGGATTTTATGCTGTAGTACTGGGACTGACAGTACAACAGTTCTGCCAACAAATATGAATAGAGCTGAACACCAAAGGTGGGTTAGATGACCACATGCACATATATAGTTGCTTTTAGAAACCTCTTATCTCCAAAATGGTAACTTTACAGAAGCGAAAACAATCCTAACTTTTAATAGAAGTCAAGGTAAAAAAGATTTTTTTTTATACTTATCCTATAAGTATAATACTATATAATACACATTATATATATATATTTCTAACACCCTGTAAAGGGTAACTGAACTTTTCAAATTATGCAAAAAAAATGTAAAAAAATAACACAACTTGGGGTTTTGTATATATCTATAAAACATATATAACAAACAGCACCTTAAACTTTTTGCACCTTCAACAAATTTTACTATTATCTCCTCTAATTATTTATAGGATCTGAAGCCACAGCAAGAGACCAATCTAGATGTCCAGGCAATGTACCAGAGGATGCACCATTTCCTTCATCTTAATCTTCATTTTATTGAAGGTTATTTTTAACCGTAAATAAAAATTCAACACAATGAAACCTCAGAATGGTATCACCTCAAAGAATATCAGCCCCCTGAAACGTGAATCTGAAATCTTTCTATTTTTCACTGACACCATGGGTTGGCTTCCTGCAAATTGATTAAGCCTAGTCCTCTTTATATAGGTTCCATTCTGAATGGAGATTCTCCATGGTAAGGAAAATGTAGTCCAGGTTATGGCTAATGGGGTCAGTTTCCAGCGACTTTATTGCAAAACTTTACTGGGCTAAGACAGGGTTCAAGATCATTGACATATACCTACATAAACATTTACAAAGACTTATTCCAAAAAGCATCAGCTATCATTACACTTTCTTAGGTAAAACTGAGTAAAACAGCCTTTATGATAACAGATGCTTGTTGGAATATTCTTTTATGAATGTAAAGGTAGGTTTAGGTCAGCTGTCATAAAAGGCTTATGCAGATGTCTTGTAGTCTTACAAATGCTGCCCTTCAGTAAAGTGTTACTAATATTGTAGACAGGTATGACTTTGTTTGACTATGTATTTGTTTCTTTAAGAAATGCACCCAAAAACACCTAAAAACAAAAGGTGGAAGAAAAAAAAAACTAGGACAAGAAAGTCTTCAGGTGATAGGAAACAAGATTACTCAACTCATGCACATTTCATTTCAACAGGCCATTTTTCAAAGTGTGCTGATGGTACTGTGCATAAGGACCAGACATGAATACTGATTTCAGGCTACTGCAGAATTATATAAACTACTTTTTTAAGATCATTTCCATTAAACACACTGAATCATTAAGCTAAATGAATATGTGTGAATCTTTCTCATCTACATGAGCCTCTACTTTGTTATAAACTCTCTCTGGTTTTCATTTGACACAAACATTGTAAACATGTTCAAAGTATTACAACAAACGATTCAACACATTTGGGAAAAAGTCATTTAGTCCCTGAAGTGATTTTCCAAATGTTGTTTATAAAAAACCTAAATCAGAATAATTTAGGTTTTCATTTAATTTCAAATAAGAATTAGAGTTACTGTAGGCAGGAGAGGAATGTGACTGTTCAGGACTCAGTCCACACTGTAAACAATTCTGAGGTTGCACAACAAAAAGAAAATTCTTTGTGTTTTATATTTAGATTACAGTTATGGCATTTACAAAAGTCAGAGACCACCCTTTATTAATTTGAGTTATTCTAGTTTCTTGAGATATATTTTTGCAGAGATTAGATAAGATAATTCACTTGCATATAGAAGGAGAAATGCAAGGGAGAAAAAAAAAGAGTTCAAAAAATGATTAAAATACACAGAGAAGGGCACAGAAGGTGACTGCAATCTCTGTACTTGTTTCCATCTCATACACGTCACACCTTCCCCTAAAGGCAGACTTACTGCACTTTCCTTGACATGCTGCTGATTTGTGGTCTCTGATGAATCCACCCTGAAGTTCTCATTACAGGCTGTTGCAGGCTAATGTACTTTATCGTCATGTTAGGCTTGTTTTGCTATTAGAGAGTAGCAAACCTGTATTATTTTCCATTGAATTAGATTCCTTCAAAGCTTTATGTTTTATACAATATAGAGCCTGTAAGAAGTTTCAATTTTATACACAATGTAGGTTCAAAAGTATCCAGACACTCCTTCTAATCAGTCAATTCAGTTACTTTAAGGTGCACCCATTGGTAACACAGGTGCTCAATTGTGTACACACAGCTTATACATCCCCGTTCTCAATAACGTTGGGACGCTGTGCAAAACGTAAATAAAAACAGAATGCAAAGATGTGCAAATCATTTAAGCCCTAAATTTAACTGAAAATAGTATAAAAACAACTATCAAATGTTGAAACTGAGATATTTCATTATTTTTATGCCTATTTTGAACTTTTAATGCTAAAAAGAACACCTGGTGGAACATCTCACAACTAATTAGGATAACTGGCAACAGGCCAGTAACATGATTGGGCATTAAAGAACATCCCAGTGAGGCTGAGTCTTTCAAAATTAAAGATGGGGAGGGGTTCACCACTCAGACCGTGATGTTGTGGGGGTGCATTAGTGCATAAGGCATGAGTGACTTGCACATCTGTGAAGGCACCAATAAAGCTGAATGATACATACAAGTTTTGAAGCAACATATGCTGCCATCCAGATGACATCTTTTTCAGGGCAGGCCTTGCTTATTTCATCAAGACAATGTCAACAGCATGGCTCATTACAACAGCATGGCTCCCAAAGTGGCTTCCATAGACCACAAATGTCACATTGCTATAGCCAGCTCATCTGAAACACTCAAATGTACGGCCCTGACCTGCAAATGGGCATGATTACCAGCCTCACAGCGCCTTCTGCTGGACAAAGTACAAATCCAGCAGTCTGGTGGCATCAGAGTGCAGCTCTAGGTACAGCACTGCAAAACAAGAACTCTTTCTATAGCCATAATTTTGCAAGCATCCATATGTTTTCACAGAATCCAGAAAGGCTTACATGCTCATTGAATATTCATTTTCGCATCTGTACTGCGAACCTTTCAAAGTCTTTTCATTAAACTAAAAAGTTCTGCACATGTATGGGCAATATGTAACAGCAAAATCTGAAAACGCATCTTCTGCAATCCTCCTGGGCACGATGCTGAATAATGTCCTCACACGGAATCTGCTGAATATTCAACATGGCCGCTTTTGTTCATTGTCCCCCTGGCTTAATAAATCAGGCTGCTGTTCTGTGTTTTGAGTGCCCAATTAGGGTGATCTGTTTAGCCTGCTGTGAGATCATTAGTAATGGATACAGGTCGGAGTGAGTCATGAGGCCATCTGCCACACAGCCTACTGCTACTGCAACTCCCAGTATCTGCCAATGAACTTACTCTGATTAGTGTTTTTTTATACACTCTATGTCCAAAAGTGCCCAGCCATCCCTTTCTAATTAGTGTATTCAGCTACTTGATGTATCCATTGTTGACACAAGTGTTAAAAAAGCACACCAACAACTATTTAATTTCCACAGAAAAGCAATAGAGATAGAATGTGATGCTTTGGAGCAGCGTAAGGTCACCAGGCCCAATGCCAAGCATTGGCACCAGGCCCAATGCCAAGCATTGGCAAGCATAAAGCCATGCAGCACTGGACCCTGGAGAAGCGGAATTGTTTTCTGTAATGATGGAGCTCCATCCAATACCTTTGGGATGATGTGGAGTTGAGCTTGCGGTCCAGAACTGATCATCCAACATCAGTACCCGAGCTCACTAATGCTCTTTTGGCTGAATGCAATCAAATCCTCACAGCAATGTTCCTATATCTAGCGTAAAGTGTAGAGGCTGCAGCAAAAGGGGAACCAACACTGATTTTTCATAATGTCAATTTAATGGTTGAGATGTAAATATTCAGAGTGGTTTGATGTAAAACGTTCTAGAGAAACTGACTCTGGTTTCTTTACAGGTTGTGTGGTTGTGAACCTGGGGTCAAAATGTCTACAGCACAAATATACATATTTTATTACTATCCAAAGGTACCAATGAAACTGTGTGTCTTTGTAAGTTTTTATATGCAATGTAATAATATTGGAAATACAGTGGAAAAAATGGGTCTTCTTCAGATACTGTTTTGCCTTACATTACCCTGCATGTACCTCTTAGAAAGAATACATCTTTAAAATTATGTTTTAAGCCAAAATCTCAACTCAGAACAATGTCTCAGGCATCAGGCAAAATATTCATGGCCGTTTCAGCCACTATCTTTCAGTGAGGTAGTTTTTTTTGGAGGCATCAATTGGATCACATGTTTGGTTCCTATAACCACTGCTTTTCTTAAGAAGGAAGCATATTGCATCAATCCACTATGAGTGACTGTTTACATTTTAATGATTTAATTTTTAATGGTCACTTTGAAAAATTGGTGGAATTCCCCTTTATTGGGTGAAATAAAGGATGGCTGACCTTATGCATGGTAACGGGCGGAAAATGGTCTGTAATTGTACATCTACACCGATCAGCCATAACATTCAAACCACCTCCTTGTTCACACAATTACAAACTGTAGTTCATCTGTTTCTCTGCATACTTTGTTAGCCCCCTTTTACCCTGTTCTTCAGTGGTAAGGACCACCATAGGACCACGACAGAGCAGGTATTATTTGGGCGGTGGATCATTCTCAGCACTGCAGTGACACTGATATCGTGCTGGCATATTGCACTGGTTTGAGTGGATCAGACACAGCAGTGCTGTTGGAGTTCTTAACACAGTGTCCACTCTATTAGACACTCCTACTTCGTTGGTCCATCTTGTAGATGTAAAGTTAGAGATGATAGCTCATATGCTGCTGCACAGTTTGTGTTGGTCATCTTCGGGTCATCATCAGTGGTCACAGGATGCTGTTGGCTGGATATTTTTGGTTGGTGGACTATTCTCAGTCCAGCAGTAACACTGAGGTGTTTAAAAACTCCAGCAGCACTGCTGTGTCTGATCCACTCGTACCAGCACAACACACACTAACACATCACACTTCAGTGTCACTGCAGTGCTGAGAATCTGCTCTGTGGGGTCCTGACCATTGAAGAACAGGGTGAAAGGGGGTCTAACAAAGCATGCAGAGAAACAGATGGACTACAGTCAGTGTTATTGTAGAACTACTACTATACGGTAAGTGGAGCTGATAAAATGGACAAAGAGGTTTTTTAATACTATAGCTGATCAGTGTAAATGATAGGTGTGCCTCATGAACTGGCCAGTGTATAATATACTTGTATACAAAGTCAAACCGACTGCATGGCCTACTGCTTCTTCACAAGACGGCAATTCAGATCTATTATAATACTATAATATCTATTATTTCAGCTGGAGATCATGACCGACCCGTTTCTTTAATGCCAACCGCAGCCAATCACTTTGATCGATTCGTGAGCTGAAGCCCCGCCCACAGGCACGAGTCACGGCGCTCATCCTTCTCCACGCAGCCGATTTCCTTGCACTTCTGAAGAGATGGAGCTGACCACCTGCTCTGGACCGAGACACACTGGACACACGAGTTGCTCGTCTGCTCTGCGCACCGTTTCCATCAGCGATACGGATTAACAGCCGGAACTTTATTTCTCCCAACGCTGCGTGAAAACGGCAGCCTCGCTTCAGCTTCGTACACACAGCGAGAGAGTCAGTGGCGAAACGGTAACGGCAGACGCTGCTGTATGTCTGCTCACAGCTTCGTTATTCAGTTAAGAGTGTTATTCAGAGTCCAGGCCTTCGGACCAGCTCGTTTCTTTCGACCCCTTTTCGTTATTTTTATAATTAAAGCGATGCCGAGACTACAGCACCCGAACAGCACCGCCAGCATTGCCAACAATGATTATGAATGGAGGTACGAATACTACGATGACGAAGAGCCTGTGTCCTTCGAGGGACTCAAGGCACACAGATGTAAGTGACTATCCTCTGACTGTGAATGAAGTTTGTTATTATGCTTTTTTGTCCATTCTTATATAATAGTGTAATAAGAATAGGTCTGTTTTCTAGTTATTGTGCCGGTCCAGATGGCAGGAGTTGATCAGCAGTCATATGTGGGGGGTTCCTAGTGCCTCCATAAGATGTCAGCAAGACTATAACCAAATACACCTGGGTTTAGATGTTAAGCAAGCCCATCTAACTGCTTTGTATACAATGCATAATGTGATCAGCTTGAGGAATTTCACACTGAATTAGGTTCTAATGGTGCTCAAATTTTATATTTCAGATTCCATTGTGATTGGCTTCTGGGTGGGCCTTGCAGTGTTTGTCATTTTCATGTTCTTTGTGCTGACTCTGTTGACCAAGACAGGAGCTCCACATCCAGAGTAAGTCACGAGTCACAGTTCAGTAGAAGCTCACGTCAATCACAGGAACAAGCCACTGAATCTGTGGGTGGCCTACCTGATGATTTTTCAAACCTATTCCACTGAATCCGTCACACAGCTCAGTCATCCTGCGTGTTCCTAGCTCCGGCACACCAAAATGGTTACTGCATGCTTCTTTCCTGTCCATTTTGTTCAGAGCTGTCTATGCCTTCCCCATCTCGCCGTCTCATTATCTCCACTTTCGGTGCGCGCAAGTGTGTGTGGCCTGCCAACCTCTCATTAGCTGTCTGTTAGGTCCGGTTCTCTGGAGTAACGCACTTTGAACCCAACTCTTGGACTTCTACCAGAATCCAGTGCTTAAATGAACCCGGCTCTGAGATCACACCCAATTAGCATAACGCTCTGCAGCGGTAACCTCTGTAGAGTCTTATCACCCAAGAGCTGCAAAGACCTTCAGCTGTTTTGTCATAAGAACATATTCCATAAAGGTGTGTGAATATATGAAGAGAAGAAGCCAACAACAGACACACATAAGTGCAGGCTCTTTATGTACTAAGGAAACAAAGCAGGTAATTAAAGCAATTCATTCATAAAGGAGACTTAATGAAAATGAATGGGTAAGGGCCCAAAGATTATTATATATGCCAGTTTGTTTTTTTGGCCCTTAATTAAACTGCTCTAAAGCCATGACTCATCCTTTTCTTTGACTAAAAACAGCGGCAACCTTAACAACCCTGGATCGCTGAATACAGGAGAAAAAAAATAAAAAATAAACATATATATATATATATATATATATATACACACACACCATTAAATCACACAGATGCAGGAACAAAATGAAAGGGGACAATAGAACCAAGGGCATGTTATATTACAGAAAATGCTCCAGAAGCACTTGACAGTTTCTTGATGCTTTGGCTGTGCATATTTTCAAATAAAAATGACAATGTCTATGAACAGATATCACAACATTTTGTATATATTAGGGGATGATGAATTTTATGGCCGATTCCGATTCCAATTTCTTTACAGCCAAATTGTTCAATGGCTGTAGCAACAGGCAACAAAGACAATAACATTGGTTACTTACTCTCTAGGCAAAATGAATTCACTGATATGACACGTAGGCCTAATAAACTGTCATGCATGCATGGCTTTCAAATGCTGCATGCGTCTTCCTGGCTGGCTCACATTGCTTAAAATAAAATCATAGTACAGATCGTCCAAAATAATAATGAATGGTCAGAGTGGCGGTTGTGTGTTAGGAGTGAATTTCTGCCGATTAGCACCCTTAGTATGTTTTGTGTGTTGGGGGGGTGCTTGACACTTAATTTTGCACGGTTAGGAAGGATCTGATACTTCATTTGCTGTCATGATACAGACCATATGCATTAACCTACATTTGAAAAACTATAAGAGGTACATGACATAAACTGAAAACTGTTAGGCCTCCAGGACAGAGGCACTTTCTTCATTCATGTTAAAGGTATGCAAAGGAGCCTGTCAAGTTCCGGAACAAATGCACAGGGATGGATAAAACAAAGCTAACTCCACATTAGAACAAAGGAAAACAGTGTGGAGAATGACTTGACAGTCATAATCAGCAGCATACCCTCCTGACCTGTGAAACGTGTAATGGTTTGCAAATTGCTTTTTGGTTTTGAAGAGAGGCTAATTAGACCTTGAAACATGCTAGTTGTCCAACTTACCTGTTATTTCCTGAAATTCAGTGTTGCTGTGTTGACAAGAATGAAAAACAGCTGGCTGGGTGTATAGCAAAAGTAAAACATCACGATATTTTGGGACTATACGTGATATCTCTAATGATATTTAGTGTTGGAGGTTTGTTAAGCTGGAACAGGAAAAGAAAAAGCCTTTTCCTGTTTCAGCTATAAATAATGATTTTTATTCAATAAATTCAATAACACTGTGCTGCACTAAATCAAACGGTACTAATTCTGCTCTCTTTGTAATAAAACATGAAGTTGGTCTGTTTCAGGTGTGTAAGTAATGACAGCTTTTTTAGAAAAGTGTATTGTGATACAATGTGATGTTATCATGATAATAAATAACCCACCATTAGTAGAGATGCTGCAAACTATCTCCAGAGGGAGCAAGAGCCAAAATGTACACATATTTCTGCGAATGTGGTCATATTGTTTTGGCAAGACAGAGGTACTCATTCTCCCTTTATGCAGACAACAAAGACCTGAGCCCCAATCTTACCAGCAGGCATTCACAAGACTCTTGTGTGTAGACGGAGCCTAAACATGCATTGTCTGACGAGTCGATTTTAAGAAAAATAGTTTTGCCTAGTCAGCTGCCGTGTTTGTCTGCATGGCCTGCTGCCGTTGCCTCGGGAGACGGGGAGAAGTGAAATGGATGATGCAAGACCAGAGATTCTCTAATATAAGGGGAGATGGCAATCCTCTGCTGTTTGGCGTTGGAGGAAAGCCTAACGTCCAGCTTGGCCAATCAAATCAGACCTTGCAAGTTAGAAGCCAGTCATGTCCTACTTTGACATCAGCACTGAGTCATCAATGTTTACAAACGTTACAAAATTAGTTTGGAATAAATCACCATTTATCACTGCTATCATAAATCACTGAAATACTGATGGTTACATACTTCAGCTGTTTAGTCATGCATATAATTGCACTGCAAAGGAGTGTTTGTACTGATGCTGTAGCTAAACTTAATAGCATTTAGAGCCACTGTTAAGAGACACTTTTCTGGCTTACTGCTGCTACAAGCTGTTGTGTAACATGAACATGCCTTTTAGTGTACAAAGATTGTGAAATTAAAGTAAATTAACAGGGAAAGAGCACCATTTGCATGTTTGCTAGCTTGCCATTTAGTTAAATGTGTGCTACTTTTTCCTGCTTCAGCTCATTTTGCTGGTGTAAAACAATAGATTTGCTATCAGTTTAGTGGATTTGGCATGAACAAGCCCACTTTGGCTAGTTAAGGGAAATCTTACAGATTAATGAGTTGTTTAGATAGTCACTGAAGCATTTATGATGGGCTAATGTCTAAGAAACTACACACAGCATAACATTTTCAGTTATTTTATTATTTAAAAGAAGATTAAACAGATATATACCAGTAAATTATGACAATTTTCCACAGTATTTTGTCTTTTGTTGGTCGAACCGACTCCGTTTGGCGATGTAAGAAAACAAGTTCTCTGAGACGCTGGTGCATTAAATTAACCCTAACTATAGGTACTAGATCTTGTTGGCATAAAATTTCATTTTTTTATATTAAACACATCATAGCTCATTAAAAAACTGACCTGACAGAAAACATGTTGAGGCTGAATGACAGGACAATCAGTTTGTTATATTACAATCTATGTCCACAAAACAGCAGTTAGTTCAGGGTACTTTTTTCACTCACACAGAGCCAGTGGTCTCCCTGCTTGTACCTGTAATGCTGTTTATACCAAGGATTGCCGAACTGTATCACTTTTCACCCCTTTGACAGGCATGAATTACCTTATATTACCTTCTATATGATACTTGCTATCAGTCATCCTTAAATATATTAAGGTGTACATTTACATTGCAAAGCACAAACAAGCTTTAAAGCAATTACCCTAAACGTTGTCTGATTAGCTAGGACGTGTTTGGTTGTTTGGTTGCGCTATGAAGCCAATACAGATACCAAGAAATGGAAGTTGCATGCCTAAATCATTACACCAAAACAAGTAATCTCAAATAGACTTGGTAATGTGGATCATAACATTGTGTCATACTGTTATCTATATAAAATATTTTTATAGGTAACAACTTGAAGCAGTTTGAGCCAGTATTAGTCTTACAGCTCCAGTACAAAACTAAAGAAGCAGACTTGGGAAACCAAACATCTCAGCTGAAAACTGCTCAAAGATGTGTTTTGAAATTGTGTTTTTTACAGAACTATTGCTTTAAACCTCATTTAGGCTTTGTATAGAAAGGTTGCACACTTTACTATTGAAGATTCAGAGATAATGAGCTGCATCTCTACAACAACCATGTGCCTAGCCTTGTTTACATACTTATTTTTATTTTAATTTTAACATTGTTTTTTTTATTTTGTAATGTTCAGCAATGGCAACATAGTACAGTATAAACTAATATAAAACAGTTTGGTTTCTTACACCCTTTTCCTTAAAGACCCTGTGCTTGTCTCTCTACACCACTCAGAGCAATATAATAAAACAGTGATAATAAACGTAAGTACAAAAACAGATGGGAGATAAATAAGGTACCTTGGTGGATAGAAAATAAAATTGACAAAACTTGCAAAAAAAAAAACATTTACATACACACACACACACACACACACACACATACAATATATATATATATATATATATATATATATATATATATATATACACACATACATACATACACGCATACATACGCATACATACACAGCACCAAACCCTATTAATAATAATGTTAGTAATTAACTCCATTATAGTATCATTAATACACCATTTGTACATCAGTCACATTATTTTTATTATTATTCTTTTATTTATCTATTCATCTTCTTTTCTTAAATAGTCATCCTGAAGGGACCTAAGTCAATCTTGCCTCAACCCTCAAATTATAGCCCTGATACCAGGGTGGTAGCTGGAGCATCGCATAGGAATCATATGATGTATTATAAAGAAAGAGGTCAGATGTCTCTCACTCAAATGTTTGTAAACCTTCAAAGTATGTTATAAAATGTAACCAGGTGTCAAAAAATTTATCTTTTGAGCCTCTTATTGTGAACTTAATCTTTTCCATTTGAATGTGAGCCATAACTTCATTGATCCATCTGTTATGTGTGGGAGGGGTAGACCCCTTCCAGTTCAAAAGAATTAGGCGTCTCGCTAGCAGGGTGGAGAAGGCAATAACATGACACTTGTCTTTAGTTAGAGATGATCCTTCAGGTCGCGTGCCAAATAAAGCCAGTAGGGGATGTGGTTTAATTACGACATTGTAGATGTCATTAAAAGACTTAAATATACTCCTCCAGAACTCCTCCAGTCTAGGGCACGACCAAAACATATGGGCTAAGGTGGCTGGCGTATGTTTACATCTATTACATGCTAAGCTGATATTAGGAAATATTTCAGCCAATTTGAAATTAGTGAAATGGAGCCTGTGGAGTATTTTAAATTGTATCAACCCCTGTCTTGCACAAGGGGATGTTGAATGCACCTGGTGAAGAATGCCCTCCCATTCAGCATCTGAAAAATCTATAGCCAAGTCCTGCTGCCACGCAACCCTAAGATGCTCTAACATCTGACGATTTATAGAGTTAATAGTAAAATATATATGGGAGATAGTGCCACGTTTATTTGGATTTAAGCTCAACAATGTATCAACTATTGACAGTGAAGGTAAACTAGGGAAGGAGCTAAATGCTTTTTGAGTAAAGCTCCTTATTTGAAGATACCTGAAAAAGTGGCTTCTCGGTAGCTTAAATCTTTGCGAAAGTTCGGCGAAAGATAGGAATAAGTTATCTGAAAACAAATCTTTTAAGCTTCTAATTCCATTCTTGTACCACATGCGAAAAGCTGAGTCAGAATAGGAAGGTAGGAACAAGTAGTTTGACACATACCAGAGAGCTTAAAGAAAATTGGCTGCAAGACCTCTCTGCCCACACCCACATTGGAATATAAGGGGAGTCTTCTGGAGACATCCAAAAAGCTATCTTTTGAATATTGCATGACCAGTAGTAAAATAAGAAATCTGACAGTGCCATCCCACCCTGCCGCCTTGGCCTCTGTAAAAAGGTTTTCTTAATACGGCAACCTTTATTCCCCCACAGAAATGCAGTAAACAATTTATCTACATTGTTAAAGAAACTTTTTCTAATAAAAACAGGGATATTGGAAAATAAGTATAGAAAACGGGGTAGAATTGTCATTTTAACTAAATTAACTCGCCCTACTAAAGAGAGTGGTAGTGCGGACCATCTAATAAAATCTTTCTTGGTACGATCATAGAGGGGGACTTGTTTACATACTTATGAAGATCTGGTAGCGCTAGTATACCTCAGATAATGGGCTTGTTGGACAACTAGGATGTCTGAAGGATGCTGGCAGGGAAAAACAAGGGAAAATGCTCAGTAGACGCTCAGCTCCTTAAACCAGCGTTGAAGGTACCTGCAGATCATCTAGATTCTAATGTTTATTTTGCCCTCCATCTGTGCAACTGAATGAAATCTTCATGCCAATGTAATCTCTCACACAGGAGTGCTGAACCATGCGATGACTGTGTGCATCTGACCAGCTGTGTTGAAGAATTAGGCCGTCAGCGGGATGCAGACAACACCAGACCTGGTTTGTCTCGGCCCTTACTGGAGGAGTCTCGCTTTCTCTTCAACTGCTATATTAATGAAGAAGAGCAGGCAGGAGAACGCACCCTGGACAGAGCCTGCAGAGCTCATGCACAGTCAAGCAGCACCGAGTCGAGTGGGCAGGTGGAGACGGTTGGCCTCATTGTCCAGAGCACACAGGTAGAGACAAGGGATGACAGCGAGGCAGCTTTTCTGGCTCACTTCAACATCCCAAACTCTGTGAACTCTGAACTCAGTTCCACACTGGGTGATGATGACTTACTGCTGGGCGGGGCGCCGATAATCATGGACAGCGAGTCTCATACACGTAGCATGCATCACATTAGAAACTAAACATTTACCACCATCATTTTGACCAAATGGACATAAAAATTAGTCTGAGTGGAACTAAGACGCATACATGGACAGTAAATACTATGGCACATCTACTCTAAACATAAGACCGAACTCCATAAATAAGAGTATGTGAACCCATTTTAAATAAGAGCGGAAGGATGTGCCTCTTGACAAGCTACCACCAAAACATTTCCATTTATCCTCATCTGCCCTCACTGTGCTGTAAGAATAACATCTATTCTTTTGATGCTGCAGAGGCTATAAAGAGCATTTGCTTCACCAAATCACTCACCTTTCGTACACTGGAATAATTATCACAAAATGGATCACCAAGTATGGAGGGGGCTAATCCGAGAGGCTATCAAGCGGTCTGCATCTGTAAAGGAGCTACAGGCCTTTGTGGCAGGAACCGGTTAGGTAGCATCTGACCCAATTAGTCCATATAACTGGCTATTGGAAGTCATTACTTGAATTACACTGGAAGCTTTCAAAATGGAAGGCAGGACAATGGCACAAAGATCCACACTGTGAAGTATGGTGGTGGAAGAAAGGGAGATTCACCTTTAAGCATCAGAACAACCCAAGCCACAAGCTAAAACCTCTGGACCTAGAATCTTGCTTCTGTAACCTGTGGACCAGGTTGGGACAACACCTTGGGAACACCATTCTTCCAGTCTCTGGAAGTTCTACTTTTACACAAAATGCTTGAAGGGAGAGAAAGAGAAACAACTTATTGTTGTTTCTCTTTATGACAGCATTGGTGTCTACAAGCCACTGTACATTAATCAGCTCAGTGACTGCCATGCTCCAATAACAACCAAAATCACGTAACACTGCACATCAGTGTGATGATACTGTAGATTACAACTTTGTTTCAGGAGGTGTGTCTCTGGCCTAGGGTCATAGTATCTGAGGCTGGTTTTTGTCTCAAGAATGAACTGAACTGAATTTTGGTCTTGTGAACATTTGCACTTGTCAAGACCAGTTAAAAAAACTGTGCCAAGTTACTTAAATGTGAGAATCCTATTTTTTGTTCTACATAAAAACTGCCTTTACAACTGTATTATTCTGAGTTGAAAAATAGGATATGATTTAGTGAGGACCATGTAGCACATTTATTATGCTGGCTTCATGTTACATCCAGTCAGGTTTTGTTTGAAATTGATTGGAATCATGCTAGTCTTTATCTGGACCAGGAGTGAGGGGTTTGACTTGTTTGCATTGTTTATATACAATAAACAAGTTTCATTTGTTGCTTAGTTTATAAAAGTGTGTTTCATATATTACAGGATTGTACTAGAGGTGCAAAGATCTTTAATTTTTTTTAGCTGATTCAAATTTTCTTTATCATTATTATTTTATTAGCCAAAGTTGCAATATAATTAACACTATTCACTCTTTGATGGGCTAAACAGGCATTCAAAATTCTTAAATAGAAATTTAGTTCCCTATTTTAGTTACATACAATCAAATAAAGTGATGCGTCAATCAAGGCAACTGGTTATTTAGGACAATGAGTCATGTATTGATGGTTACTAGGAACAAATGCTTGTTTGGAGCAAAAAATTGTCTGATCTTGGACAATTCCTGTTGTGCATTGCTAGATCCTACCATGCTAGTGCAGGGGATTGATCTGAAAGTCATGCATATTGGAATACTGGAAATGCTGAAAATGGTTTATTTTACCCAACATTTAACACATGCAATGCACCCAGTGTGGTGTCACTGAAAATCCTCTTAGAACTTGCTGACCGTATTGGGCCTCATTATCCATGCTTGAAGTGCAGCCTTTGGCACTTAGAAACAATGTAACAGAGCAGTTATGGATGTAATTGTAGTTCTGTGATTTGTGACTAAACTGGTGGTCTCTCTTGTTTGATATCACTGCTTGTGTTTATAAGAAGCAGCTAATTTGCCCAGTTAACATTTTTAATGATCTTATTCAGTACCATGTCTGCACTGAACACCAGTATTGAATTGTTTAAACCTGTTCTTTGTCTTGCTTGTGAGCATAAGCACCTTGTTCACGCTAAGCTGTACATTTATGATTTTCAGAACCAATTACATGCATATATAGTGCTTATCAAATGTGACTAGCTGTCATCTAATCAGTGTTTTAGATATTGCCCAATGTGGCATCTTTCTTACAATTGACAATGATGAGATCTTTTCTATATGGCATTGTCCAAATTTATTTAAATGATTTTAGTTGGATCTATCTGTTCTGTCCTGTCATTTGAAAAATATACTGTCCTGTATTGTGCTGTGATTTTTCCTGAGCAGCTTTTTCCACAGCTCTCTGGCCACCTCAAACCTGAATCTAGCCTGTGTCAAGGTTTTGTGTAAATCTGTAGACTTGGCTTTGTTCGATAAACAAACAATACTGATGTACATACATGACAGGTTGTCTTGCTTATATCTTTGTTCTTGCCTGTTCCAGTCTCGTTCTCTTCCAGTGTGAGGTGATTTTCTTTACTGCAGTAAAGCTATGGATCTCCAACCTGAACTCACAAAGAATTTGTACAAATTATAATAAATATAGCAATTTCAATGGGTGTAAAAAAGACTTCAGCTACTTTGGAATGATGTTAAGCTATGAAGTTCTGTTAACACTTGTGTTCATAAGACCAAGAGCATGACACTTCAAGCTTGTCAAGACAACCGACATAAACCTAAATATTTATAAAAGGTTATTCCATTAGGCATTGCCTGTTATAAAGGCTGCTTTTAACATAGCATGTTATATTTGACTTGGTAGCTTTGTGTACATCACAGTGAGGTAATATTGAAGCAACATAGCCTAAACCTTATAAATGGTAAAACTCACTTTATTTGAGGACCATCTGCACTGGGTCTATGGGGCTTCCCGGGACAGAGCTGGCCCTCTTAATGAGTCTGCCAAGTCTCTTCCTGGCCGCAGTTGAGATGCTGCCGCCCCAGCAGACCACTCCATAAAAGATGGCTGATGTCACAACGGTGCCACAATGGCATAAATGTTTATGTACGTCTATGTCAGCTGTCATTAAGGGCTTATATGTACGTCTATGTCAGCTGTCGTAATGTGGAGATATTGGCAAAACTACCCAGAGCAACTACCCACTACCTGCATAGATTTTCTTAAATTCTGCTGTAGTATTTTTTGATACAATCCAGAATTCATGGCTCCATCAAATAATGGCAAGCTGTCCTGTTCCAGTAGCAGCAAAACAGCCCCAAATCATGATACTGCCACCATCAAGTTGGGATGAGGTTCTTATGTTGGAAGTTTAGTTTTTGCCAAACAACATCTCAAGTCATAAAAAAATCTATTTTTACCTTATATTGATCTACATAATATTACTCTCCAGGTTCATCCAGATGTTCTTTAGAAAACTTTAAACAGGCAGCAGTGTTCCACCTGGAGGGTAGGGAATGTCTCCATGTTGTCATTTCATGCATACTTTTCTTGTTCAGTGTTTGCCTGATGGTGGACCCAAGAGCACTGATATTAGCCAGGGTAGGAGAGGATCAAGGTCCTCAGATGTTACTCTGGGGTTCAGGCACGAAGGCAAAGAATTCATATAGAACAGGAAAAGAGTACACGGCATCGCTACTGTTCTCCATCTTGGATTTTCATCCGTCTTCTGCCTGCGCGTTCCTATTGGTTGACATTCCTTCACGTCAGAATGCGTTGCAGCAAAAGTTGAAATGGTCTTTTCACTGCATACAGACACGTTTCTAGTCCAACAGAGCTAATGTAGCGTCCTAACTTAAACACATTAGAAGTCTGCGTTTCTGACGCTGCATCAGCCTCTAGTGTGTAGGCACCCTTACTCTTGGATTTTTGTTGGATGACCACTCCTGGGAAGGGTAACAATGGTATTGAATTTCCTCCAAATGTATGCTATCTGTCTGACAGTAGATCAGAGAAGTCCATAGAGAAAATGTTTTAGAGCCTCCTCCAGTCTGGTGAGCATTGGCAGATTTTGTTTGAAGTTTTTACAAATCTCTTAACTGAGACGTAGCATGCACTAACAAATGTGTGTGCTGACGACTTGTGATGGTGAAGACATGTTCTTTTTTAGAGGGTACAGTCAGCCACACTCACACCTGACTGTCATCTAATGGACCGAATCTTCTGACTCTAATTATCACCTGTACCAAACTAATAATTCTAGAGGTTCACATACCTTTCCCGACCAAAATATATAATGTTGAACCACTTTGTTCAATAAATGAATGAAAACCTATATAATTGTTTGTGTTATTTGTTTTATTGGGTTCTCTTTATCTACTGTTATGATAAATGAAGATCTGATCTAATTTTAGGACAAATTTATTCAGAAATGCACATAAAGGGTTCACAAACTTTCAAGCAGCACTGTATGATCAGTATTTATAACGTTGATTTTCCAAGTAATCTGTTCCCCTAGGTAGTATGAAAATCAGATTAATCATGCCATTTATGAAGACAAATATAAGGCAAGTGGATGAGTTTATGATTGGATGTCAAGCAGCTTAATGTTAAATGCTAATCAAGTTGAGACAGAACATCAGTTTAGCTGTTAACACTGACTGTTTGAAAATGAGTCTAGATCACCCTGACAACCCCGGAGGAATAATGAATGTGTAATTATGTGGGAATGAGGAAGCAGAAATGATGGAGCAAAGATGAGTCGTGGCCATGTAAGGACAGAGGGGTGCCATTTAGTTTTCTAGTCACCTGCACTTACCTGCTAAGGTGGAAGACTTAACCTTGCTCAGTGTGCTTCAATGAGCTGAGCAGATTTTTCTTTCATCTTCCCATCTTCAACAACAACAAAAAAAAATCCTGCAGTGTTTAGAACACTTTAAATAAGGAGCTGTGATTAAAAACTGCATTCCTCAAACCTCTTCATGAATTTTAAATTAGCAGTAATGATTCAAAGATCATTAAATATTGCAAAGACAAGATATTAATTAGCAACAGCTAAAAACAGTGTCAGTGGGGAAATGGTATAAGAAAAAAAAACTTTCATTGGAAATCTTTTCCCTAAAAGTCACATTCAAAGGACATACAACTTTGTTAATGTAGGCATTTTGCAAATGTTTAACGTTCTCCTAAAGTCATCTTTTTAACCCCATGTGTCAAACACAAGGGCCGTGAGCCAAGTCAGGCCCGTGACACAGTCCTATTCGGCCCGCGAAATTATTTAAATTTTCTATTCTTATTAGCCCGTTTCGCCCTGAGATGCACTACAGTCCCCAGTATGCACTGCAACATAGCGTGCGTTCTGACCCCCTTATCCCAGCAACAATCTATGGGTGGTTACACAAAAAGAAAAGATGGTGCCTAGTTCAAGCAAATAGGCTAAACAAAAGCTACATAAAACAATTTATTTTTATTCTGAATTATTTTTAATAAATATTCAGTGCCCACTATGCTGTTTGCTGTTGGAGTTTTGAGTCCGTCTTCATTCTCTAAACTTGCAGATATCGAACCTGTGTTGTAATGTGTGGGGTAGTGGAGCAAGAGTAGCAAGAGTAGAAGTGGAGAGCTAACAGCTCCACACACAACAGCACAGGTTCAGTTCCTCAGATTTGAGCCTTTATTCTCTAAACGTGGGTCAATGAAGCATAAGTGAGCAAAAATTTAATCTTTGCTGTGGCATGTGAAGCTGTTTTAGCCAACTCACTTAGCTAATGTTAGCTTCTAGTGCTAACAAGGTAGTGAATCTAGAGTAGCTAAGCCTACAGCTCTACTACTACCTACAACTAGAACAGGTCTACACACCATATTTGACAGTTTATTAGACAGACGTAGAACATAAATTTGCCATTGTTGTAATTTTAAATACCACCAT